AAACGTGCACGTTTTCGGCCGAAAACGCGTTTTCGGCCGAAAACGCTCACCAAGCCCCATTCTGAGAAAAAGCAAGCACGGAGGACGAGAATCGCTGTTGCCCTGCATAGCGTTCCGGGCAGCGGTCACATGGGGCTCGAGGGTGCGGGGGGACGGGGCGTGTGAGGTGCGGGGCTGGGCGGTCGGGCTGAGGGGAGCACGGGGCACATGCAGGCCTGGGCACGGGCAGGCTGAGGGGGGCGAGATGGGCCGGGGCAGCGCGGGGACGAAGCAGCGTCGGGACGGGCCCCGGGATGGGGCCTGGGGTGGAGTGGCTGCTGAAATGGGGGTCATGCGAGGTTGGAGGGGTGGGGACCGAGGAGGAGTTGCTGAGATGAGGAGCACAAAGATGGGCAGAGACTGCTGGTAGAGCAGGGGACTGGCATGAGGCACGTCCTGTAGATCTTGGCCTCCCTTTCCCCTCTTGCTGTTTTGTTGTATGCTTTCCCATTAGTCTTCTGTTCAGGGTTGCGCTCCTGTCTGGTTGTCCTTTGTTTTGACTCACGTGAAGAGAGAGGAGAGGCAATAGGGTTTGGGGCTGTGTTTTATGGAATATAAACGGAGGGTGGTCTGGCATGAATTTGCACTCGGCCATATTCCTTCATAAAAGCTGTTCTGTGGAGCTTCCTTCTCCCCAGGGTTATAGGATGCATGGAAAGATGTTTTTGTAGGGTTCCCTCCTTTTCAAAATGCCCCATTTCTTATGGAGTTCTGTAAAACCGGAGTAAAGTAAACAAGGGGAAAAACACAGCGAAGGTGGCTAAGCCATCCTGTCTGGCTGCTCTCCATCAACAACTACTTTAGGTTCTTTCCGCTTTTCTGGCCTGCCCTTACTTTGTGCTCTGAAAAATGTCACTTTTGTCATATTCCTACTTTTTTTCTGGTTGTACTTGGTTTCATAGAGGGATAAGGTGTGCCTCTTGGCTGTCCCAGCTTTGTTTCTTGGGTTGCTACAAGCTGGTAGTGTGCATGCAGCATTATTTTTGTTTGGAGATGATGAGAGTAGAAAGATGAAGGGCGAGATGAGGGGTGGAAATTTACCGCTTGGTTCCTGGTGTGATTTACGAAGGGAATTGTTTCCTGGAAATTACTATTTGGCATTTAATGTTGTAGGTGCCAGTCTTGTGTGGAATGTCATCTCACTTTGTATGGCAGAATCTGTACTGTCCACCCCATGGGTGGTGGGAAGGGATCTCTGGAGACCTCTAGGCCAATCTTCTGCTAGAAGCTGTCCCATTAGAGCAGGGTGTGCAGGGCTATGTCCAGCCCGGTTCTGACTATCCGAGGATGGCAATGCCACCTTTACTTTGGGCCCTGTCCAGTGTTTGACCGTGCTTATGGCAAATATTTGTTTCTGTGTGCCTGGTTGGATTTTCTCATGTTCCAGCTGGTGTCCCTTGTCCTTCCACCTATCCTTGAGCATCTTTGAGAAGAGCCTGGCCTTGTCTGCTCTACACCTTCTACTCAGTAGTTGCAGACAGCAGTAACATCTCCCCTGAGCTTTTTCCTTCCCGGGCAGACCTAACCCACCTCTCTCTGCCTTTCTTGCACGTTCTGTGCTCTAGCACTGTCCACTGACCACCTCAGTGTCTTCTGCTAGATTCCTGCCTGTATGTCACTTGTGCTGTGGAGGCCAAGTTGGACCCAGCTCTCCAAGCAGTCCCATGAGTGCTCTGTCCCCTCACCCTGCCAGCTGCTCTCCTGCTATCAACGGCAGTGCTGGCTGCCCTTGCTGCCAGGGTCTGCTGCCGGCTCCTGTGCAATTTGTTGTTTTACCAGGTGCCTTCCTACAGAGATGCTCTGTTGACAGCCTGTACCACTGCAGGGAGTTATCCCACCCCAGACGTGGGGCTGTGCTCTAGCCATAGTTGAACTTCCTGAGGTTCTTCTCGAGACATTTTCTAGTTTGTTGAAGTCCATCTGAATAGCAGCCTTGCCCTCCAGCACGTGGTATGCTTTTCCAAAGTCCCCAGACTTTTAGAGAGCATACTCTAGGCCCTATCCAGGTAATTAAAAGACTTATAAGCAGGGCTGGCCTTGGTGTTGATCCTCGAGGAATGCTATTAGTAACCGGCAGCCGGGTGAAGGTTCTAAATGCTGGTCATAATCCTTTGAGCCTGGCATTCCAGACAGTTTTCCTCCCACCTTTATTGTCCGATTATCCAGGCCACATCTCAGCACTTTGGTTCGAAGGATGCCATGGGAGACAGCATGGCCCTTTGGCCTGAAGTCAAGGTGTCCCACCCACACCCCCTGCTCTCCCCTCAGCAGCAGGGCCAGTCTTTTCATCCCAGAAGGGGAGTCAGGTTAGTTGTCAGGTGTTACTTGCCTTTGATATCTCTATTTCGGCTCGTCTGAGTCTCCTTCTTGTCCTTTCTGTACTTGGAAATGGTGTCCAGGATTTGCTCCGTAACCTTTCTGGGTGGAGGGCGAGGCAGCTGGTTGATAGCCAAGGTTACAGTGCTCTGTTATTGTACTTATGGATGAAGTCTTGATCTGACATGTTACCAAGATCAACATATGGATGGATGCAGCTGTTTTGTATGAGTGCTCTGTTCAGCCTGAGCCGAAGGAGTTTGTGTTGTTGAATTGTTTCTGACCTCTGGTGCTGGTATCTCCCACTAATGGTTTTGTTGCGCAGAAGTTGTGTGTGAACTCCAGGGCAGGATTAAATCCTGAATGGGATTTGTGCATAGTCATTTCATACACTTCCCACTGGAAGACAAACATTCAGCAGATAATCTGTTATTATTCTTGTGGCTACCAAATGGTGTTGTACAAACTCCAGACCTAATGGCTGCCAAAAGCAGCTTGCTCGCTATAGATCAATAATGCTCCTAGAAGTATATATGTTGACTTGGAAAGGATGGTCATCACTTCTGGCCTAATAATGAAATGCTGTGAATTTTTGTTTTAAGAAACCAGTAGGTGGATTGCACTCATCTGATAAAGACTGATTTTAAACGCATAGTTGACAGCTCTTCCAGAGGGCTTGAAGTGTCTTGCTCTTATTTAATGTTGACATGCAGTAGTTCCTGAATACAGGAGCTGAGTATCACCCTGCATTATGGGGGCCAGAGGTGGCATGCAAGTCTTCTTCTCAGTGTTGTGTAGCAGATTAAGCATGCTGGGAGGTTGGGAGCTGCCACTTGAATGGTTGTAAAACTCTGTGGGGAAGTTGACTGGTAGCGTGGAACTGTTTGGAGAAAGCAACTGGCTCTCCTGGTTCCTGCCAAGTTTCTACGGGTATGCTTCTGATGGGGGAGGGGGTTGGTTTCCAATACATAGGAAACTCTCATGAGCTAGCACGGTTCACAGGGGTTGTGAAACTTTTTACATGTGTAGGGAAAATGTCAGGATATCATATTCCAGAATGAAGTATGGGATCTTACTCATCCAGAAGGAAATCCTGGAATCGCCTGCCTCCAGTGTAGCAGAAGTGAAGATTCTCTTCACAGCTGCCGTACAGCCATGAAGTAAATGGCAGCATGATGAGGGTGGGCTACTTTAGCTTGGAAGGAGTCATGGTGAGCTGGCCTGCCGCTTCATGGAATGGACTGGCAGTCTGCACGATCACAGACCATATGGGAATGTTGGATAAACACCAGATCTGAGAAGCTTGGGACCTCTGAGCTGGAATTTGGGGCCTCTGATGAAAAAATGCATGTGGGAGAGAGATGTTCATTGTTCTAGCTAGTGCCAGGCTCTGCTTTCAGGAGAGTGCTGTGTCAGCTGCCTGGAAGAGAACAGGTCATCTCGGTATCAAGAGACTTTCCAACAGCTATTCTGTCTCCACCTTCTCTGGGAGGGTTTCACTGTAGTACGACAAGTATTTCTTTAGTGGTAGTAATTGATTCGAGCCCCACCGCAGGTTTATGCCCCTATGGCATTCCCTTGATGCAGCGAAAAATTTTTTGCACTTCCATCTTGCACTGATTTGAGGAACTTAAATGTTTCAACCTTCCCTCCTCCTCACCCTTTGTTTTTTCCTGGATTATTTTAAATCTGCATCAGCTACCCAATCTGGTTCACTGTGGGACTGTGTGAACAGCTGAATGGGCTCAGTGGGAGGGCTGGGAACAAGGGGATAGGGAAAGAAAGGAGAGGAAGGATGGAAGAACTACTGAAGCCGACACTTTTGCTGAGACAAACGTCAGTTTATGCTTTTAGATGATAAGGCTTTTATATGTTCTTGACTCTTTAAGAGTTACCCTCTTGTTCAGGAGTGCACTCAGCAACAAAATTATTACTGCTTTTGAGTCTGGTACGTTTAAGGTATGTTTAAATGACATTGGGAGATACGATCACAGGTCAGTCAGGCACATATGTACTAGCTGCATCTAAGATGTTTAAAGTAAGTGAAATTATGACTTCACAGCTCCTGGCTCAGGCATCTAAGATTTCCAGCAGCTTTATTCCATTGTGCTGGAGACTGAAGCTCCCCAATTTACTCGGTGGTGTTACTCTCACTCTGTAGATGAGACCTGGTATTGGTGTGCCTGTCTGTGCTGCAGTCATACATCTCGTTTCAGTGTAGCCATCCCCAAAGTTTAAGAATGGCAGCATGACATCATCTCTCTGTTATTATAGGGTGTTATTAATGCGTGGCTGGGGACCATGGTTTGACCTGCCCCCCATCCTTGTTACATACCCGTGTTTGGCATCCAGACAGGCATACAACTCTTGACATCCATACTACTGCCAGAGCTCTGTGAGCATTGGTCTTGACATCACAATGATGTCAAGTCAGTAATAATTTTCTATGCTTTTCCTGGTAAAAATTTGAGGTACAGAGTTATTAAGGAAGCTTGCATAGAAGTGTGTTGTTGACTCCAGTTCTGGAGCATGTGATTCAGATAATTTAACTGCAGGGGCACCTGCAAGCCCTCTCCTGTCCCACTGCTTTGTTAATCAGTGTGTACTATATTTCCCACAGTAACCCATGCAGGAGGGGTTACTGTGGGAAGTTTTTGTTTTGGTCATGTTTGTGTTATGTTTTATTTTAATTAACTTTCAGCTGAAGTGAAGTATTTGAAGGTAACCTCAGCTGAGAGTGGGTTTAGTGGAGAAAGGTATTAAATAACCAGTGAAGATAATAAAAATGAGTTTATTTTTGCAATTTACTAATAGGTTTCTGCAGTCATTGGCCCTATGAAATACAGGAGGGCTTCTGATTTATCACTTTTCAGCAACAACCAGGCAGTGGGTTTCTTCATCCTTTCATTGTTTCTAGTTATACAAGTTTATCGTCTTGGGTTTTGCAGTCTTCCTTTTCTTCCCTTTCTCCCCCATATCAGTTTGCTTCAGCGTTCATTAGCCTTTAATTGGGAAACGTTGCATGGTGGGGAGTGTGTTGTCAGCCAGCTTAGGTGTGTTTGGGGGCTTGACCTCTGACAGTTGTGCTGATACACGGTCCGTGGATTCATAATGCTTTAAAGCCGTTTGCAGCTGGCAAAATGGAGCAAAAGCAGTAAGCTTTCTTCTGCCGAAGGGGCAGAATCTGGCTTCCCCCTCCTTGTCCCCAGCAGGGTGGTGCTCACCTCCTGCCTCTTCCTGATTTTCTTGGCTGCATCTTTGGCAGGTTGGTGCCAGTGGCCCGTTAGAAAGTCAGCACAGAACTGGAGGCAGTTTTCTGCTAGGTTTAGTGCTTTTAAGCAGTTCCCAGGCTGGTGAGTGGGAGGCTGTGCCAGGGCGCCCTGCCTGGGAGGGCTGGGGCCAGCAGATGTGGCCTGCCCGTGGCGGGGGCTGGCAGTGTTTTGGTGGGCAGCCCCACGGAGCCTCCGCAGTGCCCACTCTATCACTCCTTGGCAGCCCTTGGAGCCTGTCGGTCTTATTTGTGTGTTTTCCCTTTCAGTGATGGTGAATAATAGATACCCGATAAGAAATTGTGGGAAAAGGACTTTTAAACTCTTAAGCATCTCCCTTTAGTTCATTAGTGAGATTTTGGATGAATGTAAGAGATTTTCCTTTCACTTGAATCTAGTTGTTGTTTTTCAAGCAACTTTTGATGTTTAAACATCCTAACTTTAAATAAAGAGAGTATTTAATCTCTCCTAGTAGAAGAGGATGAGGTGGTTGCTGTTATTGTTTTTACTTTGATTTTTAAACTACTCCTGAGCAGTTTGAGGTTGCTTGAAAGCATAGGTATGAGCTGTTGGAGGTTGCTTCCTTGTAGTTCTGCACATCTTCTGGCAACAAGTAATCTGTTAAGTCAAGTGTTACTTCTGCACCAAGGAAGGAGTTTTTACACTGTATTTTAATGCTTTGCAAGATCATTATTTTTTTTAAACCCCAAACAAGTAACTGCCCAAACCCTTCAGCTGCTTTGCCAGAGTTTCCCATGAGGTTTAGATAACTGGAACTGTCAGGAAAGGTGCTCTTGTAACATATTATGGTTCTAGGTCTTCAGTAACTCGAGGCCTATTGATCTAATGTATAAAGAGGCACTGTTTCAAAGTGTTTTAAGTCTTGTATGATTCCTCATCTCCTCTTTACTTGTAAAACCACATTTGGTCTGTTGGACTGTCTATTGTTAACAAGAACTAATGAGTTTCTGCTGTAATTATTTAATGCATAAGAAAATGTTTCAGCAGGGAAAGACATCGAGGAATTTACACATTAAAAAAGAGACAACCTTCTTCTTTTAAAAGGAACTTTGTTATGCCACAGTTCAAAGGGGCTTGAATCCTGGTGCTTAGATGAATAATTCAATTTATTCTCCATCGCAGATGGCAAGTTCCTCATGTCCAGTAGTATATGGGATAGAGATGTTTGTGGAGGTTAATACATTGCGAGGTTCTCAGAGTTGGTGCTGGATATTCAAACATAATAAAATTTAAGCTTTAAATATATCTGGCAACCTTTTTATGTTCATATATTTCACAGATTCTCTTAAAATATACTGCAAAGCCTAAAATGAATTTAAGGAAGAAAGTGTTCTTTTTGGAAGCTTCAGGAAATGCCTCATCTTCTCCCCCATGCTGCTCCTGCACTTCTTGCACACCAGTCTGGAAAGATTCTTTAGTGGATTAAACACTGTTTGATGCCTCAAGACGCATGGAAACCATTCTTATCTCAGTGAAGGCTTCAGCCCATAAAGACAATAGCCTCCATACTTCTGATTTACTTGTTCGCTTCACAAAAATCCCTTGAAATTTCAGCCTGACCTCTGTGAAAAATGTTTGTGTTTACTTACAAGCTTTGATGATTGGATGAGACCTAGGCCTGACTGAACAGACCCCTCAAGCGAAGCTCCTGATCCGTATCTTGGGTGATAAGTTTACTGCCAGTGTGGGGGCTTGTCTTT